ATCGAGACACGTATCATTCGATTTGTAACAATCACATCTAAAATCCAGCCGATAATTTTTTTCATTTTTTTTAATTTCGAATTTGTTCGGGAGGAGGGGGGGATTTCCAAAATTTTCCCAAAAATTTCGAATTTCCCCCCTCCGCCCCTCTTTTTTGCAAAATATAATCCAAACTTTAAAGAAAGCGAAAAAAATGACCGGATTGTTTCTAGAGATTTTATTTACGAATCGAATGGTATATGTCTAATCGCTGCAGCTTCAAAACACTAGGAGGAGATAGGTTTGCAGTGACAATGAGTTAACTTTCCAGTAGAGCCCGACAAAGTTGCGCGCGCCTCGAAATAGACATTCAAGGCTGCAAGACTAGATGACACTAGAGCTCAATTTCTGTCAAGAATGGTGCGAACGACGGCACGAGAACCATCCCGTACGACTGCAGGCGGATAACTGAAGCACAGCGTGTTCAGACAAGCTATTTAAGTGTGTTACCGGTAATTTCGGTCTATCTTAAATGTTAAAGAACACCACCAACCCTAACTCTTTCGCGATCTGTCGTGAACGCATAAATCAACGTACAGAGATGGTTTTGGTGCCGTTAGATGCGTCAGAATGTAAGCTTTAAGATGAGTATGAAAACTGAAAAATCAAAATTTTCGATTTTAGGGTAGACGTTTCTCTTAAAAGAGGACTTACGTATTACGTATACGTTTAACCATTTGTTGCTTGAGAAGATTTTTAGTTTTTATTAGCATTACTAGGGAAACTTTTGTAATTCATATTGCTTCTATTTTTCTATTATGTAGTATATTGTTTACTCCTGTGTGAGTAAAGAATAAAATCGCATTCACCTCTGTTGCTCATGATAGTGCGTGATGCCCTACAAGGCATCACTCAGTTATACAGTGGGGGGAAATAAATATTCGTACACTTGAAAAATCGTATTTTAATGTATGTAAGTACACAAACTTAACAGGAAAAGTGANGCTACATGTTTCTAGTACATTCTGGAATGTTCTGGTGTGAAATATTAGTCAAAAGTTGTTTTGTACGAATACTTTTTTGACCCGAAGAAGTTAACATGTTGCATTAATTTTTGTTGCATTGAGATTTAATTTCTATTGATGCTATTTTTGAATACAATGCCCCTCTATACATAATATAAATCACTTCTCCTGTTCAATTTGTGTACTTTCATACATTAAAATACTATTTTTCAAGTGTACAAATATTTATTTCCCCCCACTGTATATTAAAGTCACACGCGCTCCATGGCAGCAGCTGTTAAACTGCCGATCGAAACTCTGCTTAATTGACCATGTTTCAGAAGGGTTAAAACTTGATTTAGGTGTTGCAGTGACACAGTTTGATTTCTAAAGTAAAACATTCCATTTATTTTGATATCCAGTTATTGTTATCCATTGAGTCCTGCAAGATTACTCTGAGTTCATAAGCCAACGAGGATCGAGTCACAAATATTGTTATTGGCTTATATTAATATTGGCTTTTCTCGTGAGGAGTCTGTTGAGTTGATGAACTAACATGATTTGGGAACAATTATGAAGCTTTTTCATGTGTAACATGATATTTTGTCTCGTATATATTGCAGGTTATTGGGCTGGCTTGGTAAATCAATGTCGGGTAAATTTTTTGATTATCGCGCAATTTCGTACCTCTAATGTTACATTGTAATATAATTAATAATTTCGATTTAATTGATAATTTAATTCATTAATAAATTTTTATTAATACATTATAATTTTACTGTTTGTTGAATTATTTCGCTGTAACTTGAAGTTTATTTAATTCATTTTGAAGAGATTATTCTGATTTTACTTTATATAAAACATAAGCACAAGTTCAAATAAATGATGTTTTTAACCTCTATTTAATGTATTAAAATCCTAACTTGCTCTTTCTGACACTCGTGATCGCTGTAAAGTCAAAAATATTTCATAACACATAATAAGTACGGACAAAAAACTCCGTATAATCTCATTTTAGCGCATTTTCTAATTTAAAGAAAAAAATGCGCTATTGTGCTCGTCATGTCCGTTCGTCCGTCTGTCCGTCTGTCTGTCCGTCCGTGACCTCAAGTTTTCGTCGACGAGAAAATGCGCTCTCTGTCACTCACTGCAGTGAGTGACAGAGAGCGCATTTTCTCGTCGACGAAAACGTGAAGTCACGGACGGACGGACGGACGGACGGACAGACAGACGGACATGGCGAGCACAATAGTGCATTTTTTCCATAAATGAGAAAATGCGCTAAAACGTATAATTTCATTTGGTATTCACCCTATGCGATGATTTATTAATCTCAAGAAGCTCGATTTAGGGGGATGTAATGTAAGCTCATAAAGTTCATGTAATGTAGTTCAAAAGATGTAAAGTTCAAATGTAAATCATTCATCCATTGAAAAATTTTCCTTGATTTCCCACACTGTATGTTTAGAACTCCGTAACAACTTAGAAAAAAGTTACCTGAATTATTTTATTCGAAACTGGTCATAAAGATTACTAAAGAATAACAGTAACCTTGTGGCCGTAAGAATAACTGTAAGTTAACTATCTTATGGCCGTAACAATAACTGTAAGTTAATTACCTTGTAGTCACTGGAAGCTGCAAGTTGCGTTCGCAGGTCACGAATCTGTAAGCGCATCTCTGACGCCTCTGTGGTGACGCGTTCCAGAGCCCGACATTGCCGTCTGTATCTGTATTAAAGAGAGGAGATGTTCTGCAAAAAATAAGAGATGTTCTGAGCATAAAGATGTTCTGCAAAGAACGACAATGTTCTGCGAAACTTCTCAGCCCGGAGAAAGATTTCGCCCAGGTCTCGAAAGAATCCATAAACTGGAGAAATAGTTTAGAAGCAATTATTAAATGATGTTTGAATAAGAATACCTTTGGGGAAGCATCACAAGCAGTTCAATTATCTCTTACCTTTTGCCGCTTTTATAACAAAGAGACTTCTGTGATCCCCAATTCTGTGATAACAGCAAAAATTGTCAGATCGATTCCAACCCCGCGAAGGCAGCAGATTGACTCCGTGATGAAGTGCAAAAGCAAGTTAAGGCTTCGCTCTTGGGTCCTCGAAATTCATTCAAAAGTTTTACCAGCAGCAGACACAGGAGTGCCTTGATTGCAAATCTAACTGCCTGCGTCGCTGGCAAGAAGAATCGCAATAAAAGTTGTTAAAAGCATTAGAAACGTCCGTATTACTTTTAGGCCGACTATGGAGTAGAAGTTTTCTTGTATTCGCGAAGTCGTTTATTAGTTGTCTGTCAGCTGATGTATATGCATGAACCCCCAGTAATTTGGTAAGATTTGCTTCATTAGTTTAAGGATTAGCTAAAACTGTGAATATTGTCATTATATTTAGATTTGTCGATTTATTTCTTATGCTATGTTTTGTACTGATTTCAGAAACATGTCAAAAATCACCTACGAAATCCGTGTATTCATTACTGTCCTCTACGACCTTAAAGACCTACAAGGAGAGTCTTTACATAAGTCATGCGATTATTGAGAATTTAAGAGAAGCCGTGCAGTAACAACATGAGGCATATAGACTCCGGGTGGTCAGGGGGCATAGACTCTAATCATGTAATTTTGACTTTTCTATGAGTAATTTTGTAATTTTGACTTTCTAATTCACGTAATTTTGACTTTTCCAAGAGTAATTTTGTAATTTTGACTTTCTAGATCAAGTAATTTTGACTTTTCTAAGAGTAATTTTGTAATTTTGACTTTCTAGATCAGGTAATTTGGACTTTTTTTAAGAGTAATTTTGTAAATTTGACTTCCTAGATCAAGTAATTTGACTTTTCTAAGAGTAATTTTGTAATTTTGATTTTCTAGATCAAGTAATTTTGACTTCTCTAAGTGTAATTTTGTAATTTTGACTTTCAAAGAGAAGATTCAATGCATAGTATCAATCCTTATATGGAATCTGATGAAATCACAAGCAACTTTGAATGTTAGTCTGAAATTTCCAATGGAAATGACACATAACATGTTTGGACTTCATAGCCTGTATCCACTTAAGCTCCAGAAAAGTTATTAAGAACAGCATGCCGTAGAACCTGTCTCTTATACACATCTAGATGTGTATAAGAGACAGGCCTAACCTCAACCACAAGTAGATTTTTGATCTTGATCAATAGTATGGTGTTTTCATTATTCATTTCTATTATTTGTGAAAACGAGACTACTTCAGTGATATTTATATTGCAAAAAAATTTGCATATTTATTTAGAAGTTAAATATGATTTTGACAGGCCTAATTTGCTCGCTTAAAATATTTGAATCAATGGGTAAAACATGAAGTTACTTTAGTTCCTTTGAATATTTTTCCTCTGTAATTTTTGCTCAATTCGAGCTAAAGGCAAATATTTTTGGTTGTGTAATTTTTAGCTCAATTCGAGCTAAATTTAATAATTAAATTTTAGAATTTAAAATTAGAATTTTGGCAATTTATGTCGAAGCAAATGAGCCCCCGAATTGCGGAAAGATAAAACAAATTTTTCCATGGCTTCGAATAATCTTGAACTAATCGAAATCTACAAAAACATAGAAAAAAAATGTTACAGATATTTTACATTCCTGAGCGTTTAAGTGCATTACTCATTTGACAAACGAATACGAATCAATCATATGGAGTCTCAATAAATAACTTTAGGTTTCAATCTAAGAAAATCTATCACTGTTTTCCATGAAATAAGATTGTATCGTTTTTAATCTAACTACTAACCACTCTGATGATAACCATAACAGTGCCTGATTCACATCCCTATTTGTTCAAATTCAGAAGCGAGGCAAATCTTAGCTTTTAATAAAATTCTGTATTAGAATTCCAATAAAATTTGACGTCATTGAATATTATTCACACACAGCAAATGAGAATAGCTAAAAGATTTAAATTATTTCGTAGAAATTAGCCTCACAAACGATTATATCATATAATGAAAGCTATATATGATTACAACTAAATAATCACTCACCCATATTGAAGAAGCTGAGATGCCAGGAAGAACACAATCAGGGTTTGGTAGAACCTTCGTCTGGTCATTTGAACCAGCATCTTTAGCACTCAAATTTCTACTATGTGTTGATATTAAAAATAGAAATTAGTAAATTCGTGAACTGAATTCGTGAATTCATGAATTATAGTGGATCATAGCTGCAGGCGGGAAGAAAGTGCATGATATTTCACGAATTATTAATAAATGAAAGTCTCAGGTATCATTTATTTCACGAAGTTATTTAAGTAATTTTCTGCCAATACGAGTATAAGTATGACGATTATTTTGAAATTCATTAGTTGTTTTAATGCTTAAATTCATAAATACTGTTCATGCATAATTGTAGAAATGGTTGTTCACGCAATGATAATGACTTTTGAATTTCAGTTACAATAAACCGTGTAACTCAAGATTACGAGTTCATAACTTCCAAGCAACGCATTATTCAAACTTAAATCTGTTCGTTTTGCTTCGAATAACTTTGCTCAAACATCAATACAGAATGCGACACTGTAGTCATATAAATCATATTGTAAAATATTATAATATTATTATAGGTAAAATATTGAATACTACTTTGCGCATTTCAGTGCTATTCGAAAATCTTAGTGTTATTATTAATTATTAATTATTAATTTCGGTTGAAGACATTTGATGAACATCTCGATGTGCAATATAATTAGGAAATAATTTCACTTTCTTTCATCTCAAGTTCGAGTTTTGTTTTTATATCATATTTATCAAGGATTTCAGAATTTTTGATGAGCTCTAAATAAGAATCCTGTTCGATCTAAAATCAAAATTGTGTTATTTCATTTGTTATTTTTATTCATTCATATTTTTTTCACTGAATAATACCTAACGAAGAATAAATTTTATTATTATTATACATATATTTTGAATAATAACTAAATTATAATATTATATGTTATATAATATTATATGTATATAATATTATATATCATATAATATAAGAAAATAAGTGTACAATTTAGTTTTGGAAAGTCTCAAAAAAGTGATTTGACTTTGTTAACAAATTCCTGTCATAGGATATAAAGATATCAAACCAAAAAACTTTCAAGCCAGAAAAATACNTTCCAAATTTTATAATGATAATAATCTTTAAAAAAACTAAATGTTCCGTTGTAAGAAACATTTTAAAGTTTTATAGGCCTTGAATCAGTCATATAACACCGAGGAAAAAGTGAATGTTCGGTAATATTTCATAATATCAAACCTTGAATTCATAAACAAATTATTCATTCACACTAAGTTTGTCGCTGTGATAACTTATGTTCTGGCATATCAAGAAAATGAGAAATTATTGAACCTACTCCCAACCCTTTAAACTTAAGAACCTTTTATCGCCTACAACAAAATTTCTGAAGGCTCGAAGTGAGCAAAAAAGTAAACTAAAGAATTGTTAATTAATTTGAATTTGTAAACTCCGTTAATTGCATTGAGCAAACGGCGCTATTAGCCTGCGGGAGCGATGGGACTGTAGATTAGTTTCAGTTGAAATAAATGTTATGTTGAATTAACTAATTTTTATGCCGGTAAAGAATGCTCGAATTGTTTAATATTAATTTAGAGGTAACATTTCTTCGTTTAATTCTAAAAGAGTGTTTTAAATATCTTATGAAGAATTTGCTTTGAAGACGTAATCTCCATCATTATTCTAATTTTAGATATATTATCAATTTGGCAAAAAAAAGATATAAGTGATTGATAATACGTAATTAAATTATAATCTTTGAAATCTTTAGCAAATCTCGAGTGGCAAGATTTTCTAAATACATTCGTTTAAAATTACCAATTGAGAATATAATTTATAACTTTATATCCGAATAAATGAATTTTAAGACCCTCGAAAACTTTTGCAATACGTGAGGAGCGATCGTGCAAAGATTCAGATTTGGATATTAAACATAGAACATAAAGTTTATTATTGAAAACTTTGGTTGTTATAATCTTTGAAACTATGAAGTTAAAAATAGAAGTAATTATATGCACGAAGCTGATTGCAGCTTGCAGGTTAACAACGACAAATTGTTCTTTCCAGTAGAACACACGAAACGTCAATTGGGTTACATAAAATATTCATATAAATAATATTACCGTTAGACTGGCCGCTCATTGCTTGCTTTTAGTAGCCACTA